AAAAAAAAAAAAAAAAAAAAAAACAGGCGTATGAGGTGTAAGACTTGAGAGAAGCACAACATAGGGGTGATAGGGGAAGTATTAAGAAGGCTACGGTCGATATGGTGCTAGCGGTGGCGCACACGTGACACAACTGTAATTGGTACACATAAATACAACGTAAAACATGAGGGTGTCTGTAGGCAGTTTAAAAAAAAAAAATTATCAGCACGAAAATCAGATTTAGGTTAATGAGAAGATTGCAAAAAAGGGGGATTGGTCATTTTAAATTACACAGAAAACAATGTTAAAAGGGGGGGGGGGGGGAAAAATATATATATGCGCACATGAGATTGTCCAACTATTCTTGCAAGACTGTTCCAACGATATCTGAATACCCCATCGTCAACTGTCACCAAGTCTGACTCCCCGACCAATGAAGACTCTTCTTGTAGGTCCAGTCGTGTTGGGCGTCCTGGAGTCGCTCACAGTTCTGTACCCGTACCTCGAGAAGTTTCCCCTTATGCCCTGATTTAGGCGGAACTCTCTCAGCTTCATCATAATTTTATCGAAAATCTTGGGCGTTTTTTCAAGCAAATTTGGTCCTCCTGCGCAGTTGGGGAGAGGGAATATGAAATACGATTACATGGAAAGAACGCCTCCGCCGCTTTGAAAAATGACGACTATTTGCCTGAACAGGTCATATAAAAAAGCGATATCCCCTGGAGGGAATCCTCCCCGCAGAGTATTTGCATGCATTTTTACGCATATAGACACGTCGCGTACCTTCTCTCGGGAGTAGCTCTCTGAAAAAGTAGTACATATGTCCAGACATGAGGCCCATAATGTCCACCCAAAGGGATTGTCCCATGATAAGGTGTAGGAAAATAAGTGCAAAGGGCAGCTGGTAGCCCTTCACTGTGAAGAAGTAAATGGACACTTGGCTCCACGCCTCCCTCCTAGACCAGTAGTAAATGATGGCGAACAAAAGGGAGTTTCCCAGGAAGGGGTAGCCTGCGGGGCGGGGAAGGAGCGAAGCGAAAAAGTGCAAAATGGGCACACG